CACTTTTACCTCTTTTATTACTTCAAATTACGAGAAAACAGAATTAAGAGAGATTTACAGAAAACCATGAAGTTACAAATAAAATTTCTAAAAATATTACGGGCAGGATAACTTTTGGAATCTCAAGTTACCCTGTCCATTACGAAAACCTAAGTAAGCCTGCTTTAATTTGCTTGTATTTTTTATAGATTGGAGAAAAAAAATTCGGTTCCTAAGATGTTCACTTTCTATACTTTAAATTTTATATTACTTACATAGGTTGGAAATTTCTTCAGAGACATAGTGTCCTATCAAAGGAAACTTAAAATTATTTTTAAAAAAAATTAACATAATAATTGACGTTGCTTCGAAGATCGCAAGAGAATATTCTGAAAAGAACTTGAAAAGGTAGAATATATTCGACTAATGTTTAGTTGAATTTGGTTCATTTAGATTTTAAAGTTAGTTTCATATACTAAATATAAATTCTTTTACGCAAAATGCTAAAACTAAGCTCACAACCTAGAAGGTCAAAAATATTTGTTCAGGCTGCACTATAAGGATTCGTCTAAATTCTAAAAACTTAAATATTAAGAATGATATTTTCGAAAAATGAAACTGAAATTTTAATCTTTGAAACGGATAAAATTTAAACTGGGAAACATTAGTTAAGATTTTTTTCCCCAATTCATGAATATTTTTAATACTCTTATTTTAAAATTGATGTGTCAAAAGGTTTAATTTTAGCAAAAATGGTTCGAGTTTCTTAGAGCTTATTAAAATAGAAAATCGTAATCATAATTTGAATAAAAGTTCAAGACAGTATGATTAAATTAATGTTTTGAAGTATTTAAGTAATAGTTTATATTTTCAAACTCCAGAGAATACCAAAAAAAAAAAAAACGTTTCTCAATCTTTAGCCAGAATTTAATATTGGAGAAGTTCTCCGGTTATGTTATAATATATAAAATTATTTAATGATTTTCTAAAAGGAAACAGAACAATATTTCCTTAAGTCATTTTGAAATTTTTTACATCTGTCGGTATTGGAATAAAATAAAAGAACAAAAATAAACTGCATGGTACTATCCGTATTAGTTTAGAATTACTATTACTAAAAGCTATTTATTAAATAAGAATAACGAGCGAAAAAAAATTATCTCCACAACTTTAGTTTTGAAATTTAATATTGATAATTATAAGTTTCCAAATTTAAAGTAAAAGGTTCAAAATTAAAAATTTAAAAAAATTTTAAGTCAAAAATACGTCATATGTTAAAAGTGAAATTTCTCCATTTACAAAAGTTAAAAAATTAAAAAATATTAAAGACAACACAATCACTCTTTCCAAACTGGGAGAGTTAGAGCGTACGTTGCCTAGAAACGAAAAAAGAAATCAATGTATTAGTCTAATTATTGTTACAGATTTAATCTTAGTTATAACAAATTCCCTGTAATGTAAAATCTGAAGAGCTTTTGTTTTATTAAATTACTGTAACAAGCTTAGTTAACAAACTATATTAAAATTAGCAGATGCTAAGTAGACAGATTGTTATTTTAGAATAAAATTTATTTAGATTTACTTTCATTTTGTTTTATTGCACGCAGACGTTTCTAGCCCTCATGTAATCCTTGTTCTCGGAGGGAAAAAAACGAAATCATTTAAAAATTCCTCAATTTAATATTGGAGAATTAAAAATTCAACTCTAGGTAATGTTTAGAATTAAAATTTTCTGTATCGAAATTTCAGCTAGCAGTACGTTCACTTTTACAATAGTTCTGCATTTTCCTAAAATCACGTAAATTATGAAAACTTTTAATATTAAAATTAAACCCACGTAAAATTTTTGAACTATACTATAAAGTAAAATGAAAACGTACTAAAGAAATAGTCAATTATCTAACGTACTATATCTAGCACACTTATCTAAACGCAACTATCTGCAAATATCTATTTAAGCCATACTGGATGGCTCAATTCGTAGTAAGAGAGTCACAGCGTAGCAAATCTGAGTATTGACAGCGACATGCCGGCATTTATAGAAATATATTTGAAGATTATGTCTCAGTTAAAAAATTTGTTTTAAATAAAAGTAATTTGAATTTCAGCTGACTAATTATTTAAATTTGCAGTTTTATAGCTTTAAAAATCCAAGCTCCTTAGACAATTATCTTCTAAAAATATGAGTTTCCACAAATAACTTATTTAACTGTAGAATTCGGATCAGCGTCATTTCAGGATGATTTAATTCAATCTATTAAAATTATGGAAGAATTATGTATTTGAAGCTTTCTTTATAGCTTAACAAAAGAAGCAATTACTGCCGAAGGCTTAATATTAAAAACTTCAGGTTGATAAATAAAGATCTCTACTAGTGAAAAAAGTGTAATGATATACATTATTCTTCATATAATATAATATAAATAATATCTTTATATAATAGTGAGATTAAAAATTAATAAACTAGGTGGACCGTATAACACCTCACGTCTGGGAATTATTACCTTCGTAAGTATTTATAAAATATCTTTCGGTCTAGTATAAGAGCCTGAAGTGTAAAATGTCGCATCTTATGATAATAAATTAATACCTCTAAAAATACAAAAATATATACGTGAGATTACGAAATAATAACCCAAGGTCGAACATGGAACACCTCACGTTAATAAAAAAAACTTTTCCAAATGCCCAAAAATACACTTGAGGTTGATTTATAATAACCAGAAGTGTAAAACGGCTAACCATAGGTAGATAAATAAATACCTCTACATGCATAAAAATCTATACTTGAGGTTGAAAAGTAACTACCTGAGGTAGAACATAATACACCTCACGTCAGTAAAGAATTACCTTTTCAACTGTCAAAAAACACACCTGAGGTAGATTTAAAATAACCTAAAGTGTAAAATGAAAACACCTTAGGTTGTTGAATAAATACTTCCACAATTGTTAAAAAATATACTTCAGGTTGATAAGTACTAACCTAAGGATGAAAATGAAACACCTTAAAGTAGTAAATATCTACCTCTCCACAGATGTAAAATTAAACACCTCAGGTTGATACATATATACCTCTGGAGGTATATTTAAGGTATATTTGAGGTTAACTTTGAGGTATTTCCTTGCATCTTTTTCAACCTAACGACGTATTTAAATAACAACCTCCTTTATACCTTTAAAAAGCACCTAATTTTTACCTGATTTATACCTCGATTTTTTAGTGAGGGTCTCTCCACACTAATGGTGAAAGCTTGCGAAATGTTGCCATAGGTAGAGGGCTCCACTCTACCCCACGTGTAACCCATTTCCATCCCCAAATTAATTTTACTGGGGAAATAATTATATTTTTATCTTAAAAAATAAATATTAGATGCGAATACTCATAAATCAATTTGAATAATAGAATTACATAACAAATTTACCTTTTTTTTAAAAAAAAAAGCGAATTGCAAAAAAATTCTTGTTAATAAATGTTAAGAAAATGACAATACAATGGACAATTGACCGCATGAAGCTAATCGCAAATGGCGTTCAGGGTTAAAACTTGTCTTAAGACTTCCAGGTTACTGCTTCCGACTGATTTTACACCTAAGCTTAAAAAAATGCACCATCCAATATTATTATACTTGTAGTGTTCTATAACATGTTCTTTCAATATACCTTTCAACGAAACAAACAACAAATGAATTCGTATTACTCCTTGCTATGACGCTACTAAAAAAATAACAAATGCTGCTATTTTACGGAAAAATATAGCCGAATAAAGGATAACATTCGAAACATGGCTAACCTTATATTTTATTTATGTGGTGATATTAATTTGTTAAATTTGTTTTAGACACACGACCTGCTAGAATTTATAAATTACAAAAAACTCTTATGAATGGTAAATTTAATCGTAAAAATAAATACAAATGACAATAATAAAACTTCCGAGAATATTAAGTCTGCTCACACATTGCCTTGTAAGCATACATTCGCGCATTGCGAATGTAAATCTTCCAAATGAGCCAGATTTCTCTCCTCTCCTTAAATCCATAGAAAATGTAATGCTTGAAACTCGGTTGTTATTTTTTTTGCACTTTAACTTTTTGTTTTGAACTTTGAATTGAAAAGAATAAAAAAAAAGAAAAAAAAAAAAAANAAAAAAAAAAAAAAAAAAAAAAAAAAAAAAAAAAAAAAAAAAAAAAAAAAAAACTAGAGATTTATTAGTATTCTTTATGAACTATTTTTTTAAAATTTTTATTACTTATGTGTGGTATAAATTTTATTTTAATCAACTAAATTTAAAAACCGTATAAGAGAAAATGAAATGAATCATCAAGCATGCGCATAATTTTTTGCTTTATATAACTGTTTCAAAAGTCTAGAGTCCCGCAGTGGACTGATCGTTAAGACACGGTTCCCAGCAGATCGCCGAAGTCAAGCATCACTGACTACGGTCAGTGTGCGGGTGGGTGACCATTTGGATCAGTCTGAGTAGGGACCGAGGGTGTGCGGTATTGGTCCTCGTTAAACTGCGCTACCGTAAAGTGCTCGACTTCGCGTGCAGGTCGTCGGGCTACCGAAGCGGGGGTGCCATCCCCTCCGCAGAGGATCAAAATTGTGATGGCATGTCTTCGGATCATCCTCCGGGGTGTTTCCCAGACCGTCGCCAATAGCCCGTTGTGCAGCTCTAGTGCGACGTAAATTAACAACAACAACAACAAAAGTCTAGATATGTATATTCTTCAACAAGTACTGCAAAAATAGAACACTCAAAAAACAAATATAATGCCCAAATAATAAAAGTAATCATGAATATGCTTTTAGCAAAGATTCTGAAGGAGGAGAGCGTCTGTTTTTGATTGCTAATGGCTACTAGAACCCGACCTAACCGAACTGAAAGTAACCGAGATCACGTGACTATACCGGAAACAATGACTAAGCAATAACAATGAAAACGATGATACTAACAGCCAATCATGTAAGTGTTTTTGATCACAAAGTCAGTCTGCCAAGCAACGTCAAAAATTTGCTTAAATGTCTGGAGTTTGTGAGGATGTAAAAAAAGACCAAAAAGTAGATAGCTGAGAAGTGCCTAACAAATGTTTGAAGCAGATATAACGTGAAAACAATGTCGGTTGTTTGAAAAATTGAAACGGCATAAAATTCAACCAAAATTTGCATTTTTGTTGAAAATTTTGTTCATATATCTCTATATTCTACTCGTTAATAATTTAAGCATTGTGATTTCAAGATGCCTCGAATTATGATAAAAGGTGGTGTTTGGAGGAACACTGAGGTAAATCGCACTCATTAATAATTTTTTCGAATTGTTATGTACAAACAAGCATTTTTTTATTTTATTATTGTATAAAGTTGCTATAGCATTATTTTTAATTTGTCACTTTTATGTGTGTTGCTGTTTTCGTTTCTTTTTTCGTAGTTGAAGTTTATGAGGCAGCTTGTATTACTTAAAAACTCATTTAATACTGTAATGTTTATGTATGGGTCTATTTAAGATTTCTCGCTTAAATTTTATTTTTGGAGCAGGGTTGGGGTTTTAGACGTCCTACACTGGTTTTGGACAGGACACTAGGGTTTTACTGTCTTAAACTGACTAAAACTGTCTTAAAGTGCCCAAAACCTTGAACTTTGAAGGTTAAAATTCTTTATGTATAACCATTGTACTCATAATAATTGCATATATCAATAAATATTTGATATTTTTTAAACAATTTACTTTAACTTAAAGGAAAATAATATAACGTAATAGGAAAAGGTTTATATTTTTTGAAGCTCCACAATTCATTGTATTGAACAATACCTTATCCTTAGTGAATACCTTATCCTTTAAATATAAATATGCTTTTAATACTGTTAATTTGTGTTTTTGCATAAAGATAAATAATGCAATATTAAAAATATTTTTTTTTTTTTGAAAATAATAAATTTATTTTAAAATTAACCTGTTACTTTTCGCAATATTTTTAAATTTTTTTTTATAATTTCTGCATTACAGGATGATAAAAGAGACATCTATTTAAAAAAGAAATGTTTTTGAATATAAATATATTTGTTTAAATTGGAAATACAAAATAACTGAAAAATGTATTTTAACAGTTTTAAAGGGCTGGTGATGTATCACCACTATGCTGAAAGTATTAGAAAATTACTTAAGCAATGCAAGTATTTCATTACCTATTTATTAAACCCTAACTATAAGGGAGAAGGCTTGTCTGATGTGCAAAAAGGAAGTGCTTGGTCATATTTAACTGACAAATTTCCTGAGTTCATTTCTCTTTTAATTGCCTATGAAGTAGAAGCAACACCATTTCCAAAAACTTACTTTACCGAAGCTAGGAGAACCATTTAACCAGTGTCATGAAGGACGGCTATTGAAAAGTCCATATTATTTGGGGAATATTCGAAAGACATTTTTAAATTTATCACTCTTCTACTCTCATGCCCAGCCAGCTGAGCTTCAACTGAAAGGATGTTTTCAAATTTTGGATTAATTCACACAAAACTTAGAAACCGTCTTGGTGTGAAAGCAGCTAAATTAGTAATGTGCTATTGAATGCTAAGAGGATCAATTGAACTTGATTACTGAGTAATCTTCTTTTGTTTAAGTTAAAGAGTTAAACAATATTAATAAAACATACTTTTAGAAACAAATATTCACTTGTAGATTTAATTATCAATATGTTATTAGTTCTATGTTGTTTATTTTACCTTTTAAATATTGTTCAGGCAAAATTGTGACATAGTTTGATTAAAAGGGTTTTGGACAGGACAGTTTAAGCCGTGGATTAGTCCATTCTGTCCTAAACCTTGTCAACCCTGTTTTGGAGTATTGTGAAAATTTGTTTTGAATGGTGAAAGGAAAAATGTAATATCCTAAAAACCATTTTTATTTTGGATATTTATTATTCTGCAAAGTGTTCTTAGGACAAATTTCTGTATCGATAATAGTAATAGAGTACAGAACCCGTTATCCGGAAATCAAAAAACCGGAACGAAATTCAATAAATTTTCCCGCCATTTTTTAAAAAAAAAATGTTTTTTTCCTCATAAGATTTTAGGATTTTTCTTTCTTTTTTGAAAGATGTTTAGCTTACCATCATTTTGGAAATAATCATTAGTGTATTACTGCATCGGTTTTTCTTCTTTTTAAGATTATTTACAAATATATATATATTTTTTTAGTTGGGTTTAACAATAAAAAAAACGGCATTTTGTAGCGATTCACAAAACTGGAAAAATCAGTTATCCGGAATAGCGATGGTCTCGATCGTTCCGGATAATCGGTTCCGTACTGTATTGTAATTGCGTAATTTGCGAAAACTGCAGTCGGCAAACCGTCAAACTATTTTTAAATTTGCTAAATTTAAAAAATATATATTTGCTGCAAAAAATATGATTTATTATCATACTAAGAATTTAAAAAAAAAATTAAAAATTGTTGTAGAGGGGGCGCTTTCATTTATTAGTAGCATTTATTTTTCCAAAATAATTTCTTAATGAATTTTTTTTAAGTATCTTGACTTTTACCCTATTTCATATAAGGAAATTAAAATGGTATTCCTTAAATATATAGCTTCGTATATGCAAATATCATATTCGAAGCTTAAATAAAGGCAAAGAAAAAAAAATTTTGTGGTAAAAGAATTTCATATAAAATAATTTAAAAGTCACAAAAATATGCAAATTTTCCCTATATTTTAATTTATATTTTGTTTACTGCCTTAAAACCATGGAGTTCCTCACAAAGTTATTAATTAATTAGCAAAAATTTAAGTATTGTAATCATATTTTTTAAATTTATTTTGTTTTACATATTATTAGGATTTTTTAATTCTATATTTTATAAATATATCATGCACGAGATCGAATTAGTGATAAAGTGGAGAGACCAGTAACATCAGTCTCTTTCTCAGTTTAGGTTGAAATTATGAGAATGAATGAAGTTTAATATTTCTATGTTTCATATGCTTAAGTCTATTTTTAAAATTATTTTATATTTAAAAATTATTTATTGGTATGTTATTATTTCAAATGGAATATGTTTCAGAAACTGTGCATTGTTTAAAATTTTCTAATTTATTTTTCTCTTTTTGAAGGATGAGATATTAAAGGCTGCTGTAATGAAATATGGCAAAAACCAGTGGTCAAGAATTGCATCTCTCTTACATAGAAAATCTGCTAAACAATGCAAGGCGAGATGGTAAATAATTTTTATTACTATTATTTGTATTGTTCTTATAGTTTATTTTTGTAAATTTATCATCATTAGGACTAGGGGATGTTAATCGTGATATTTCGATGCATCACAATGTTTAATTGCATTAGTGCTTTATTATTGGTATTGCGTAACAATTTACAGCATCTCTTTATTTAATTTTCTATCCTAACTTAATGGAAATTCACTCCTGTAACCGAATATGTTATTGTTTTTCCCTCAAATGTTTATTTATTTAATTATTAAATTGTTCAAAAAGTCATCTGTAAGTGATGCAATAAAAAATGATCCCCGATTAGTTACGACATCACACGTGCTGAATAGAAGCATGCCACCTCCATCAGCTAAGGCTATTTTAATGCTCTTTTAATTTTGATACCACTTATAGCGGATGAGCATCCTTTTTATATTATTAGTAAAAATTTCATAAATTAAATTTACGGCTCTGTGAGTGTGTACAAAACAGAAAAGAGATTTTTAAAACTTCAGACTGTTTATTTATCTCTAAAATAGCTGAAAAAATGATTATTCAGCTTTTCACAGGGAATAAACATTTCATTTTGGATTAAAGTTCGTTCGGATTAAAGTTGTTAAAGTTCATAAAAATATTGATTTATTCCACTTATTTTTCGGTTAAATACTACTCAATTGCGGCCAAATTACTTAATTAAAATTGATCTCAGATTGGATAGAAATAGCATAAATTTAGGTATAGGGCGGGTGATTTTATTATTCGATATTGGATTCTAAAATCAGTGTTTTCATAAATCTAGTCCATTGAAAATATCTATCCACAATCCTTAGAAACTATGTGCTATTGTTAAAACATTCAGGTAATGAAATACAGATTTACCTTCTTTTTTTTTACTCGAGTTGAGGTTTTTTTTATATTTTTAAACTAAATATTTATTAATGCAGTTTATTTCTTTTTTCTTTTTACTGTGTATTAAATATTTAAGTCTACATTTATTCTCATATCTATTCTTAATATTATTCTTTGAGTGAATAGTAATTTTGCCATATAAATTTTTTTTTATATTAAAATTATTTTTATATAAAATTTAATTCCTGTTGAGTAGAACTAAATAAATGCATATTCTTGGTTTCAATTCTCTTATAACATAGATTAACGTTAATCAAAAAAATGTGAATCAGATAAACTGGAATTTATTATTTCATTTTTTATTAAAAAAAAAAAATTTTTTTTTTTGAAGAAATAAATTAAAAGTTATGCTAGGATGACACTTTTTTTTCAAAAGGTTACAGCTATGCTCAAGATAATCCCTTGCATTAAATTCAAGCTAGAATAAATAAAAATAATAACTTAAGCTTTTTTATATTTTTAAAATCAAAAACTAATTATAAAAAATTGATTCAAAATTTTTTTTCACTAGCATGAAAATAAATCTTCGAATATTATAATTTGAAATATACTTTGTAGGATTAACATGGCTAAAAAAAATTAAAGAACAAAATTATTTTGTATTTCTAATGCATCATTTTAAAAAGTAATATCAGGCATCCATAGATTCAGNGCGCGAATTAAAAATTAAAGTATATGCAATTTACTTTAATTTACTTTTCTAAATGAATAGAGTTATAAGATAGAAAATATCACTGTTGTTATCTTCAAGATATTTGAAAATTGAATCGTTTATAGCAAAATTTAAAACAATGGCTAGCTTTTAACCAATCAGAAAATTCCATTTCGACTTTCACTGATATCGCTGGAACGGTTTATCGCAGAATGTTCTAATGTCGACAGAAACCTTCCTCGTGCTTTGAACTATCTGTATGCCAAGTTTCATAGCTTTCTGTCGGATGGTTTAGGAGTCTATAGAGGACAGACAGACACACATTCACTTATATATATATAGATTGTAACAAGCTTAGTTAACAAACTATATTAAAACTAGCAGGTGCTAAGTAGACAGATTGTTATTTTAAAATAAAATTTATTTAGATTTACTTCCATTTTGTTTTATTGCAAGCAGACTTTTCCAGCCCTCATGTAATCCTTGTTCTCGGAGGGAAAAAAACGAAATCATTTAAAAATACCTCAATTTAATATTGGAGAATTAAAAATTCAACTCTAGGTAATGTTTAGAATTAAAATTTTCTAGATCGAAATTTCAGCTAGCAGTACGTTCACTTTTACAATAGTTCTGTATTTTCCTAAAATCACGTAAATTATGAAAACTCTTATTATTAAAATTAAACCCACATAAAATTTTTGAACTATACTATAAAGTAAAATGAAAACGTACTAAGGAAATAGTCAATTATCTAACGTACTAAATCTACCTTACTTATCTAAACGTACTATCTGTAAATATCTATTTAAGCCATACTGGATGGCTTAATTCGTAGCAAGAGAGTCACAGCGTAGCAAATCCAAGTATTGGTAGCGACATGCCGGCATTTATAGAAAAATATTTGTCTCAGTTAAAAAATTTGTTTCATAAATAAAAGTAATTTGAATTTCAGCTGACTAATTATTTAAATTTGCAGTTTTATAGGATTAAAAATTCAAGCTCCTTAGACAATTATCTTCTAAAAATATGAGTTTCTACAAATAATTTTTTTAACTGTACGATTCGGATAAGCGTCATTTCAGGATGATTTAATTCAGTCTATTAAAATTATGGAAGAATTATGTATTTGAAACTTTCTTTATCGCTTAACAAAAGAAGCAATTACTGCCGAAGGTTTAATATTAAAAACTTTAGGTTGATAAATAAAGATCTCTACTAGTGAAAAAAATTTAATGATATACATTATTCTTCATATAATATAAATAATATCTTTATATAATAGTGAGATTAAAAATTAATAAACTAGGTGGACCGTATAACACCTCACATCTGGGAATTATTACCTTCGTAAGTATTTATAAAACAGTTTTCGGTTGAGTATAAAAGCCTGAAGTGTAAAATGTTGCATCTTAGGTTAATAAATTAATACTTCTAAAAATATAAAAATATATACTTGAGGCTACGAAATAATAACCTAAGGTAGAACATAGAACACCTCACGTTAATAAAAAAAAACCTTTCCAAATGTCCAAAAATACACTTGAGGTTGATTTATATTAACCTGAAGTGTAAAACGGCTAGCCATAGGTTGATAAATAAATACCTCTACATACATAAAAATCTATTCTTGAGGTTGAAAAATAATTACCTGAGGTCGAACATAATACACCTCACGTTAGTAAAAAATTACCTTTTCAGCTGTCAAAAAATACACCGGAGGTAGATTTAAAATAACCTGAAGTGTTAAATGAAAACACCTTAGGTTGGCGAATAAATATTTCTACAATTGTTAAGAAATATACTTTAGGTTGATAAGTACTAACCTAAGGTGGAAAATGAAACACCTTAAAGTAGTAAATATCTACATCTCCACAGATGTAAAATTAAACACCTCAGGTTGATACATGTATACCTCTGGAGGTATATTTAAGGTATATTTGAGGTTAACTTTGAGGTATTCATTTGCACCCTTTTCAACCTAACGACGTATTTAAATAACAACCTCCTTTATACCTTTAAAAAGCACCTAATTTATACCTCGATTTTTTCGTGAGGGTCTCCACACACTACCCAAGTTGCACAATTCACAAAAACGATATCGTAAAAACTTGGCTTTGAACATTGTACAATATCATAGCGAAACATTGTACTATATAAAAATGGACCCCTTTTATAACGTATATTCAATATCGCGAAACAATATTGTTCGATATTGTAAAAACGTTGGGGAACGTCGATCGATATCTCTCAGCATTTCGGATATCTCTAAATTTATATTTTAAATTTATTTTTTGGAATTATAACAATTTGACGTCATTTTTTGTCTTTTATATGATTAATTTTGATTCAAAAAACAAATATGATACCCAAATAATAAAGGCAATCATGAATATGCTTTGCGCAAAGATTCTAAAGGAGGAGAGCGTGTGTTTTTGATTACTTATGGCTACTAGAACCCGACCTAACCGAACTGCAAGTAACCGAGATCACGTGACTATACCAGAAAAAAAAATTTACTAAGCAATAACGATGAAACCGATGATACTAACAGCCAATCATGTAAATGTATTTTACCTCCAAGTGAGTCCGCCAAGCAACGTCTGAAATTTGCTTAAATATCTGGAGTGTGTGAGGACGTAAAAAAAGACCAAAAAGTAGACAGCTAAGAAGTGCCCAACAAATATTTGAAGCAGATATAACGTGAAAACAATGTCGGTTGTTTGAAAAACTGAAACGGCAAAAAATTCAACCAAAATTTTCATTTTTGTTGGAAATTTTGTTCATATATCTCTATATTCTACTCGTTAATAATTTAAGCATTGTGATTTCAAGATGCCTCGAATTATGATAAAAGGTGGTGTTTGGAGGAACACTGAGGTAAATCGCACTCATTAATAATTTTTTCGAATTGTTACATACAAACAAGCATTTTTTTATTTTATTAGTGTATAATATTTGCTATAGCATTATTTTTAATTTGTCGCTTTTATACGTGTTCCTGTTTTCGTTTCTTTTTTCTTAGTTGAAGTTTATGAGGCAGCTTGTAATACTTAAACACTAATTTAAAACTTTAATGTTTATGTATGGGTCTATGCGAAGAGTTCTCGCTTAAATTTTATTTTTGGAGCAGGGTGGGGGTTTTAGACGTCCTAAACTAGTTTTGAACAGGACACCTGGGTTTTACTGTCTTAAACTGACTTAAAGTGTCCAAAACCTTGAACTTTGAAGGTTAAAACTCTTTATGTGTAACCAAAATAGTACACATAATAATTGCATATATCAATAAATATTTGATATTTTTTAAATAAGTTACTTTAACTTATTAAAGGAAAATCAGGGGTCTGTCCAGGCCGAATTTACTACCGTTTAGCGGTACCTTCACAAATTCAACTTTAAGAAAAACGGTAGTTTCACAAAATACTTTTTCTTAAAATTTTATTTTTCTATCCCTTAAGAAACGATAAATCCACTTTTTTACCATACTTTTGTGTTGATTTTTAAATATAACTTTTAATTTTTCACAAATTATGTCTAAATTTTCACAAAATAGGTACCTCTCAGAAAAACCTAGACAGACCCCTGAAAATAATATAATAGGAAAAGGTTTATACTTTTTGAAGCTCCGCAATTCATTGAACAACTAAAGTGAATACCTTGTCCTGTTAAATATAAATATGCTTTTAATACTGTTAATTTATGTTTATGCATAAGGATAAATAATGCAATATTAAAAATATTTTTTTTTTAAAAATAATAAATTTGTTTAAAAATTAACCTTTTACTTTTCGCAATATTTAAAAAAAAAATTAATAAAAAAGACATCTATTTAAAAAATAAATGTTTTTGAATATAAATATATTAGTTTAAATTGGAAATGCAAAATAACTGAAAAATGTATTTTAACAGTTTTGAAGGGCAGGTAATGTATCACTATGCTGAAAGAATTACAAGTATTAAAAATTACTCAAGCAAAGCAAGTATTTCATTACTTGGCCTATTTATTAAACACTAACTATAAAGGAAAAGGCTTGTCTGATGTGCAAAAAGAAAGTTCTTGGTCATGTTTAACTGACAAATTTCCTGAGTGCATTTCCTTTTTAATTGCCCATGGAGCTGAAGCAACACCATATCCGTAAACTTACTTTACAGACTTACTTGGAGAACCATTTTTAAACTTACTGGGAGAACCATTAAACCAATGACGTGGTGGATGGTTATTGAAAAATCAATATTATTTGGGGAATATTCCAAAGAAATTTTTAAATTTATCACTCTTCTACTCTCGTTCCCAAGCAAGCTCAGCATCAATTGAAATGATGTTTTCAAATTTTAAGGTAATTCACTCAAAACTTAGAAACCGTCTTGGTCTGAATACAGCAGCTAAATTAGTTATGTGCTATTGAATGTTAAGAGGACTAATTGAACTTGATTACTGATTAATCTTCCTTTGTTTAAATTGAAGAGTTAAATAATATTAATAAATTATTATACTTTTAAAAACAAATATTCACTTGTAGATTTTATTATCAATATGTTAATAATTCTATGTTTATTTTACCTTTTAAATATTGTTCAGGCAAAATTGTGACATAATTTGAATAAAAGGTTTTTGGAAAGTTTAAGACAGTCTTGGACAGGACGGTTTAAACTGTGGATTAATCCATTCTGTCCTTAACCTTGCCAACCTTGTTTTGGAGTATTGTGAAAATTAGTTCTGAATGAAGGGAAAAACATATTATCCTAAAAACAATTTTGATTTTGGAAATTTATTATTCTTCCAAGTGTACTTAGGAAAAATTTCTGTATTGATAACAGCAATATTATAATTGCGTAATTTGCGAAAACTGCAGTCTGCAACCTGTCAAAAAATTTTAAATTTGCAGAAATTAAACAATATTTACTGCAAAAAATATGATTTATTATCATACCAAGAATTTAAAAAAAAAATATGTTGAAAATTGTTGTAGCACTTTCATTCTAAGTAGCATTTATTTTTCCAAATTAATTTCTTAATGAATTTTTTTTTAAGTACCTTGACTTTTACCCTATTTCATATAGGAAAATTAAAATGGTATTCCTTAAACATATAGCTTCGAATATGCAAATATCATATTCAAAGCTTAAATAAGGGCAAAAAAAAAAATTTGTGTTAAAAAAATTTCGTATAAAATAATTTAAAAGTCACAAAAATACACAAATTTTTCATATATTTGAATATTTTTTTAAATTTTGTTTACTGCCTTAAAAACCATGGAGTGGCTCTGAAAGTTATTAATTAATTAGCAAAAATTTAAGTATTGTAATCATATTTGTAAAATTTATTTTGTTTTACACATTATTAGGATTTTTTCATTCTATATTTTATGAATATATCATGCACGTGAAGGAATCAGTGATAAAGTGGAGATAGCAGTAACATCAGTCTCTTTCTTAGTTTAGATTGAAATTATGAGAATGAATGAAGTTTAATATTTCTATGTTTCACATGATTAAGTCTATTTAAAAAAAAATTTTATATTTAAAAATTTTTTATTGGTATGTTATTATTTCAAATGGAGTATGTTTTGAAAACTGTGCATTGTTTAAAATTTTCTAATTCATTTTTCTCTTTTTGAAGGATGAGATATTAAAGGCTGCTGTAATGAAATATGGCAAAAACCAGTGGTCAAGAATTGCATCTCTCTTACATAGAAAATCTGCTAAACAATGCAAGGCAAGATGGTAAATAATTTTTATTATTATTGTTTGTTATGTTCTAATCGTCGTCCTGTTGAGTAGAACTAAATAAATGCATATACTTGATTTCAATACTCTTATAACATAGATTAGCATTAATTAAAAAATGTGAATAAAATCAATTGTAAATTTATTATTTCATGTTTTCTCTCCTAAAAATATATATTTTTTTTTTGAAAGAATAAATTAAAAGTTATACTGGGATGACCCTTTTTTCAGCTATGCTCAAGATAATCCCCTGCATTAAATTCAAGCTGGAATAAATAAAAATAATAATAATAACTTAAGCTTTTCTACATACCTATTTAATATCAAAAATTATTTTTTATAAAAAATGGATTCAACATTTTTTTTCACTTAACATGAAAATAAATCTTCGAATGTTATAATTTGAAATATACTTTGTAGGGTTAACATGGCTAAAAAAATGAAGGAACAAAATTATTTTGTATTTCTAATGCATCATTTTAATAAGTAATATCAGGCATCCATAACTCATCCATATCAGGCATCCAAAGATCTTAATATTCAGAACTAGAAAATTTAGTCAACTGTTTCAGTGGGTACCTTTGAAAATTAAAATATTATAAAAATACATTATTATATTAAGCCCACAGTTTCATTTAGCTACACAAGGGCACAATTTATTATACATATCATTGTTCTCACATAGTTATTAACTATCTGAAATTATTGGATTTAATTACAAAAAATCAAACAAAAGCAAGATCTTAATGATTTTCAGAGCATAGCGATTGCTAATGAACGGCAGATGGGCACTGGGGAGGACAATTCATGACTTATCAAGTGATTCCGTTTCAGACGATGGGGTGAAATTTTGTCTATTTCTCGTGCCTGTGAAATTCTTAACTGTAGTGTTCAAAAGTGATAAGCTAAAAAAAAGATCACAACTATCTATTTTTTATGGCTAATATCCAGAGTACCTTCCTAGGAATTAAAAAGGGAAGACCTTTAACACCGTAAAAATATCAAATTATGTAATATAATTGTATAATAACTAAATTTGACCCTCAACAATTTTTAAATTACCCTCTTATACTATTACGTATATGTATATATTTCAAAATGCAATTCTCACAAATTTTCAAAGCAAGAGAAAAAATTTTAATTTACGAAAAATAAATAACTTGATAACCAACTTGAAACCTTCTTTTCTATAATTTAAACTGAAAATTACGAAAAAAATTAACATTCAGAGATGCATTCTTTAAAAAAGGTATTTATTTAAGAACAATTTTAAATCACCTAAAAAATTCATTAATATGCCCTCTACCTTGAAAAAAAGAGAAACCTATAAAAATTTAACCAGTTGAGAAAAATCCTAGCAGAAAAAATATTTCTAATGGTAATCAGAATTAAACCTATAAATGCAGATAATTTTACCAGTGTGCAATTATTATTTAAACAGTGAGTTATTTATTTGTAAATGGAATAAGAATAGTAAGGCAGTGTTTTTAAGGGATGGTGGCTTATTTCTACAAAAAGGACAATGAGGGAGCATTTATAGGAATCAAAAGGCAAATAGGGTGGGCCGCCCTATTACCACTGAATACCATGTTTACTTCTTAAATGTGATACCAGCCACCAAAATAGATAGACATGATGGCAGTACCAGACTTTTTGTAATGTGTTTAAAGATAGATTATTTTTAACTAGATGTCAGATTCATGGAAGATTCGTGATTAACAAAAAAATTAAAAATGAATATATATATTACTTATGCACTTAGTTTTAGATAATTTTCGTAAGTAAAAAAAAGACACTTTTATGAACATTTTTAAGTTATTCAACCCTGCAATTTAAGCAAGATGACATATTTTTCCAGTTTTTTTTTTATTATTTTTTTTGCTACATTTCACAAAGGTAAAACAGGCTTGGCAGAGAAATGTTCATTATCCCTTTTAAGTTAGAATCTGAAAATGTAAATCATTGTTTGCACAATAAATCAGTTAGTAAAATTTGTTTTTTTTTTCCCTGGAAAAAAAAATGAAAAAATAAAGCTTAGTACAATTTTAAGTACATTGCACAGAAAGATAAAGATTTGATTTACTTTATCAATTTATATAGAATCTAGTTGTTTGAATACTTAAAAAGAGACCATTTATTAATTTGTTGTTTTGGTAATAATAGGTTATGTTATAATAATTTGTAGATAATATAGGTTTAATAATAATGTGTACTCAATAAGTTATGTATTTTTAATTTAATAATAAATTTCATTCTGTTATCAAATTTTTCCTGTGACTACAAAATTTTCTCAAATAGAATATTTGTTTATATTCTTATAGGTATGAGTGGCTGGATCCTAGCATCAAGAAAACGGAATGGACTAGGGATGAAGAAGAAAAATTGTTGCATTTGGCTAAACTTATGCCGACTCAGTGGAGAACAATTGCTCCTATTATTGGAAGAACTGCTGCTCAGTGTTTGGAACATTATGAATATTTGCTGTATGTGGATTTTTTTAAATATATTGTCAACAAATAATGGAAGTGTGATGTATCTACACTTGATGTTTGTCTTTTTTTTATTTTTTAAACCAATGGGCTTTTGGGACATTTTTATTGCTGCTACTTTTGCCATGTGGTAAACGGAATTAAATATTTCAACCCTGTTAAATTTAATATAGTTCACTTGATTTGCAGTCAATTTTAAGGAGCTATGCAGGATAGGTTAAGCAATGACATGTAACCTGAAAAAGTACATCCCTGAATCGGGCAAATGTATATCAGGCAGTGGTATGGCATTAAACCTTAAAAAAACATTAGTATAGAATATACTCTACAGTGTCCCTAAGGGAATAAAACTAATACTGAACTGTTAAAAAAATATCTTTTATATTGTTAGATCGTTTATTAAGATAATACCAAACTATTATTTTACAACACTAAACTAGTTTAGTTATATCTTTACTGAAAGTTTCATGGAAATATAACAATATATAAACAAAACTATTTATTCCAAACGAAACAACTCTATTTAGAATTAGTCTTGCACTCAGATGTGCTCCACATCACTTCCAGCAAATTCTGCAAATCAATTCAATATTAATATGAATTTTCTTTCATTTATCAAGGCAGTGTAGTAAATTTCCAGGCAAATTTATATCTAGCATTTTATCGTTAATGTTGATGAGAAATTTTTTTCTTCCAAAAACTGGTGCATAACAAATATTAACTCAAATAATATACTTTAATATAACTAATTAAGTTACCAGTTTCATGCATATAATTTAATTTGTAATGAAAAAAAAGGGCATCATTTTATATTTACATACCATAGTTACTAATGGGTTTTTCAATCAAAAATGTTCATTTACACTTTATTGATAGTCTGCACTTTATTGATCAAAAATGTTCATTTGCACTTTACTGATAGTCTAAATATTAATTGATTGGAATAAACTTAAAAATTACACTTTTCTGTGTTGCTAAGTGTTTAATAGTAAAAATGATCAAGGTTTAAATTTAAGGAAATAAAAATATTGATTTATTTTTTATGAAGTTTCAGGGACCAACTTGTGTTGACCTAATGACCAATAAATTTAGAACTCTCCTGATCTTACTAGATTGTGTTGCAATTGTTGGGGTCTGTCTCTAGGACAAGCTCCCATGTAACGTTTATTCCTAATAATATTTTTTTCATGTTAGTTTCTTTTAATGCATTTCTAATTTTGCTGTAACGCATTTATTCCTATGGTTTTTGAAATTTTAACAACTATTTTAGTGATCAAGCTCAAAGAAAGGAAGAAGATGGTGAAATGGCTGATGATCCTCGTAAACTTAAGCCTGGAGAAATTGATCCCAATCCTGAAACTAAACCTGCACGTCCTGATCCTCAGGATATGGATGAAGATGGTATTTTAATTTCTTTGACTTTTAATTATTGTCAACTAGTGATTCCATAAACATTAATTTGTATTAAACTGTTATCATACCGAAATTTTAGCCGAATACCTAATTCTTTGACAAGTTTTACTCATTTTGGCCTTATCAGTAATTGTTATATAAATTTTTGATTTTCTGCAGTTTCCCATCCACAGAAATTATTCTTTATAGTTTTAACTTTCAGTTTTCAATATTTTAGCTGGATGATGATTTGTTGCATCATTTTTAATTTAAAACTTACATGAAAAAGAAATATTTTAAATAATACTTTTCCAAATTTTTAAAAGTTCTTAAGTTCTGTCTTTCATTAAAAATATGAAAAAAAGTTAAAATTTCTATTTTTTTCAAAAGTTTAGTGCCTTTGAGTTTTCTAAATATTGTTTAAAGAAGTTGAAACGTTTAAGTGTGTTTTTACAAAATGACACCAAAAAAAGAAAAGGTAAGAACACAAAATTTTTCTCCTTCGAAAATAAGGACCACTTTAATACATAATCTAGTAGAAATTTTTTTTATTCTAATTTCATTTATTTTCTGATGATACTATAATAACATACTGGCTTAGTTTTTGTTTGTTTTTCTTTTTATGTTTTGGATGATGAAATTTAAGTGAATATTTAAACTCTTTCTTATCTTAAAATGTAATGGTTATTTGATTTTGTAGCATTGTTTTAAAACTATGTTTTATTTTTATATCATTTAATAATATTTTACAGAAATGGAAATGTTATCTGAAGCCAGGGCTAGACTTGCTAACACTCAAGGTAAAAAAGCCAAAAGAAAAGCTCGAGAAAAACAGTTAGAAGAGGCCAGGCGCTTGGCTGCTTTACAGAAACGAAGGGAACTTAGAATGGCTGGAATTCAGCTAGAGGCTCGTAAAAGAAAAAAGCGAACTATTGATTATAATGCTGAAATTCCATTTGAAAAGAAACCTGTTGCTGGTTTATATGATACTTCTGAAGAAACATATGATCCCATGGAGCCAGATTATAGACGGTTGAGACAACAACAATTAGATGGAGAACTTAGAAGTGAACGAGAGGAGGTTTGTTAATTTTTACCGCAAATATATTTCTTAAATATTTTGAGGTTAAAATTATAATTGTTCATTTTTTATCAATAAAATTTTAAAAATTTTATTAATTTGAAAATTAGCATTGGTTGATAATATTAAGTATTTTTTATTATGTCTAACTTAAATAAAATCGTGGATTATAACATTTGATGTACTTTATATTTATGACTTGTGTTACTGTCTGTGAATTTCATTTTTAATAACTTTCAATATCAAGTTACTATATGTTACAAAATTAATTGAATAAGAATTTTAAGCTTGGTTAATTTGTTTATTGCGCTTTTTGATTGATTTAGTACTATATGTTTTTTTATTAATGTATGCATATACTTTTTGCAGAAAGAAAGAAAAAAAGATAAACAAAAGTTGAAAAAGCGGAAAGAAAATGATATACCATCTACCATGTTTTCTGAAAATTTTGAAGTTGCTAAAAAACGAAGCAAATTAGTCCTTCCAACTCCTCAAATAACTGATGCAGAGCTTGAACAAGTATGTTTTTCTTTAAGCAAATTTGATAATTATCTTTTCACCCTTTAAGTTCTCAATTTCATATCTTTTTGTAAGTTGATTATTCATAACATCTTGATTACACATAACATTTCATTAGCTTTTTTAATTTTCCCTGTTATTTAATCTTATATTTCAGTCTGTGAGATTTCTCTTTTCAATAGCAGTAGTAAATGTGTCATATGCATAAAGGCGAAATACCTTTTAAAACATAGGAAGAAACAAGAAATTAAAAACTAATTACATTAAATAAGTTAGAAAGATAGGAAAAACAATACTATAACTATTGTTGGGATATTCTTTTTCTCACATAAACAGATACTTATATGTGTTGTAAATAATAAATGTAAAAATTAATTATTTATTTTTTTCATTTATTATCATAATTTTAATTTTTTTTCCCTGACTATTTTTTTCCCTAACTAAAATCTTGCTATTAAGTCCTAATGATACATTGTTACATTTCATAAAAAAGAGAAACCTTAGTAATGACAACTGGTCCATTATATACTGGTCAACAAAGTAATATGGTTCTTATAATTATAAAGAGAAAAATTTTAAATGTTAATTCTTGCATACTGAGATCTAACCATAGAACCAAAACGACGAATGGGAATAATGAAGTGTGAGAAAGTGTTTACTTTTGATTAATAAATTAAGAAGGAGAAGTTAGATAAGGAAATTACATAAAAAGATTTAAAGCTTTTTATGTTGCATACATAATTTAAAAATACAAAAAAAAAGTAAAAAATGTAACTTTAAAGAGAAGAAGAAAAGTTATTGATAAATATGTTTTTAATTTTTTTTAAACAAAAGTTTTAGAAAAAAATTAAAAGCTTGAAAGCAAAATAAAGAAAAGATATAATCTTATCAGCTCATATGATTATATCTGTAAAAAAAAGTGTTTTCTAATGTAATAATATAACCAAACCAAAGATCAAAACTTACCTTGTTTATTAAAATAATAAGTAAATATTAGTCAACTTCAATATTTAGACAATAATGTTTGGTTATAAGTTAAATGAAAAAAAGAAAAAGTATGTGTTGGATAAGTTGACTTTTTTCTTTCATTAAAAAATACATGTCTTTCTCCTTTTTTTTTTCTTTTCCCCATTTGATGTAAGGAGTTAACAATGCAGATCAGATAAAAATAACACTAAAAAACAAGCTCAAATTGAAAGGGAAAATCGCTCCGATTTAACGTAAGGTAGAAAAATATATTATTAAACACCATTTTTTTAAAAGAAAAAGAGCTTTGTTTATTTTCTTTGCTAAAATGTTTCTGGAGAATAAATATTTCTGTAAATATTAAGACATGGGACATGGATTTCTTTTTAAGTCGCCAAATCAAAACTTAAGCTGTATTATTTATAATAAAGCTTATTATATAATAAAGCTTATTATATAATTAAGCTATATATAAAATTATAATTATATATATAAAATATATAATAATATAATAATAATATATAAATATAATTAAGCTATATATAATTAAGCTGTATTACTTGTATTAGTTTGAAAACAAAATATTGTTACAGCAGATATTAAAATTTTTTTAGAATAATCAGTTATTCTATCTCCATTTATCCAATTGATCTGACAATAATTTAGCAATTTTAAAAAAGCTTGTTTTTAAACTATAAATTAGGCCATAATAAAAAGTAATCTTTTGAAGTTTTTTATATTTTAAATATTATAATTATAACCTGTTTTGAGAGTTTTAATAAAAGTATTCATACATGCCTGAACATTGTAACAAATATTATTAATAAGTTTAATAATTGAGGTACTATTTAGATTTTAGTTTAAATGTCAAAGATTTTTAAAATTTCATTTGTTTCTTCATAAACATTGAATGAAATTTCCTGAATATATCATGAGTTTTCTAATCCATTGAAAATCTTACAAATAAGTCAAATGCAAATTTATTATCTGTTACTTTTTATTAAAACTATTTTATGTTGGAAACATTTTTTGTTCAGTGCCTGTAAAACTTTAGCAAAAAATATTTATTTATTGTTAAAAGTAATTTACTTTAGTTTCTTACATTAATTTCAAGAATAGTAAGCATTAAGTTTAATAATAGAAAATTTTGCAAGTATGCAGTTTTCAATAATTATATAATTTATAAAAAAATAAAATTTACCTTGCAAATATACTTAGTAGTTTACTTATAGACTATGAAAATCAGTAATACTAAGTGTTAGATTCAACTAAACTGGAATCTAAATGATTTGTTTTTAAATTAGTTTATTTTATAAGTAAGAACTTTTATTTATGAATTATAGTTTTGTTTTCTGTTTGATATTTCTGATTATTATGTTTTATTTTAATAGGTTGTTAAGCTAGGAAAAGCTAGTGAAAGTGCAAGAGAGGCAGCTGAAGAGTCAGGAAGTAAAGTATCTGAAACCCTTCTCCCTGACTATAATTTAAATCCTAATGCTCTTAGTGCACGAACTCCTCGTACACCTGCTACAAATAGAGATAGCATTTTGATGGTGAGTAATAAGCCATATTTAGGCATTACTACTAGTTGAGTTATTGAAAAAGATTTACGAAAATTGTTCGTGTTGAAAGTTTTTGTTTTAGTTAAAGGCACATTGGAGAATTTGTCCATTTAGATTTGCTATTTTTCAAATACTAGTGAAGAATTACAATCGAAATGAATGTGTTTTTGTGTTATAATCGTTACATCATCTACATGTAACACAAATGCATGTTAGTTATATCAAAAAGTCCTCCATGGAGGCTGGTTTGACCCAATGCTTGGTCTAGGAGCTTGGTCTTTGAGCTGGGTTGGGCTCAAAATTGCAAGGCTGCAGAACATTGATAGTTGTAAATTCTGCTATTTATTGTTAGCTATAAAATAAAGTATAAAATGAGTATATATTTTAAGTAATTACCTACAGTGACTTAATTGTAATTTAGAAACAATATTGATTAGCAAACAACATAGACAGTTTCAAACAACTGCTTTTATCTTGGAAGTATAGCGTTGGTGTTTTATATCTGTTCTAACATATTTTTTTAAGAAATATCTATGGCTTAATTAGCCAATAAAGTAACTCTTTTCCCTTCACGTCCTTTTCATAAACCAATAAGAGTCGAGCATGCTCTCACACCCAATAATAGCTTATGTTATTCTTTCTTTCCTTACATTTCCTTTAAACATCGTTCAATTTGTTTATTGGATTCTCTTACTTCTTGACCTCTTAAAATACCTGAAAATACAGCTAGAAATCAATTTTTAATGCTTTAATTTTACTTTTTACATTTGTAAAGTTCAAAATAATATTGTTAGTTCTGATTTATGCCCTAATTTGATTTACTATTTGACTTAAGAAGAAAAAAACTTGTTGATTTAAAAACAAATTTATAAGTTTGCTGTAATATTGATATTGTAAATTTACTTTAATTTAAGATTGTATCAAGTAGTACTGTTTATCATAGGTTACTGCCAAAGAATGTCAGAACTACCAAATCCTGATTATACTGGGAAACATAATATGGTTCATTTTAATGCATAAGACTGTCTAGATTATTTGGATTTATTGACAATATTTTAATTGCTTCTAAAGCTGAAAACGAAGATTTGTCATATTCGCAGTCTCTTTTCCCTCAATATATTAAATAATTATGGAATTTGTATAAATGTATCAAAGTGCACATTTGGAGTACAATCTATTGAATTTTTGGGATTTCTTATGTCTGGAAATGGTTTAAAACCCTTGTTACTGTAGCTATAATAATTGTAAAAAATTTCTGCGAGCCACTTTTTTCATTAAATAAAGAAAATTTTTAGGAATTTTTATAGATGGTTTGCACGTAAACCTTCTCATATCCTATCCCCAAATAAATTAGAGGATATCCAATAAAATAAATTGATTTTGTTTTGGTTTTCCGTTTCACTTTAATTCACTGCATACCTTTATTAATTTAATATAAATTTTAGTAAAATATTTTTATTTGTTGTTTTACTTATTAATTATATTTCAGTTAAAAACATTTTTGAAAAAAAGCACTCACAACAGTAACATAAAATATTGAGCCATTAGAATTTTTTTATTTATAGATGTAATTTTTTGCAGATATTTATGGATATGAATATTTCAATGAGTTATTGGATTTATTTTGTATACTTCTATTTTATTATAGGAAGCACAAAATATAATGGCTCTTACTAATGTAGATACTCCACTGAAAGGAGGCCTGAACACTCCTCTTCATGAATCTGATTTTAGTGGAGTTACTCCAAAGAGAGATACAGTGCAAACTCCCAATACTTTAATTGCAGCATCATTCAGAACTAATTCAACTGGTAATTGCTGTTATTTTTTAAAAAAAAAATTATAATTAGTTTTCTTTGTTATTTAAAGAATAATTGTAGACAACTAATGAAAGTAGTCTGACATTATTCTTCAGTTATTACAGTTAATCTAATGAAAAAATTACTTTGTAATCGAATAATTTTGATTGATTATTGTATTGCCTAGTTAGTGTGATAGACTTTGGCCTAACAGGACCTTGACCAAGGTTTGATTTCTTGTGCTATGAGCTGAATGTTTAATCAAATTGCATTTTTCTTGATCATGTCTTAGTGGTTTGGATTAATGCAAAGTTTCAGCATTGGAAAATCTCTGCTCGATTTGAAATTTATTAAATGGTTGTGTATAGGTTACGTGATTTATTTCAAAATTAATTAAAACATTTTTTAAATAATTTTATGGAAGAAACACAACCAAACTAGAAATTCATATTTGTTGTATTCGAATTTGTAAATAAGTTAACAGGGAAACAGTCACTCATTTCTATATGTAACATAAATTTATGAGTGTTTGCTTAGTTCTCTAATACAGTACAGAACCCGTTATCCGGTAATCAGAAAACCAAAAAACCATAACGAAATTCAATAAATTTTTTCGCCATTTTTAAAAAAACAAAAAAAAAAATTTTCCTTAAAAGATTTTACGATTTTTCTTTCTTTTTTTAAAGATGTTTACCTTACCATCATTTTGGAAATAATCATTTGTGTATTACTTCATCGTTTTTCTTATTTTTAAGATTATTTCCAAATTAATTTTTTTATAGTTGGGTTTAACAATAAAAAAAACTGCTTTTTGTAGCGATTCAGAAAACCAAAAAAATCAGTTATCCGGAATAGCGATGATCCCGACCATTCCGGATAATCGGTTCCCTACTGTATTTATCTTGTAAATGTTATTGACAGTTATATATTCATAAATATTTTTTAATTAAATTTTTCAAATTCGTTTTGATAACTTTTTCAGATTAAGGTTTAACTAATTCTAGTTTTAAATTGAACTTATTTTACACAATTGACTAAAGTAATTATAGTTTATAAAAAAGAATGTTCAAATCTATTTTTAATATATTTATAATTCATCATTAAAAGTTTTTATGGTGATAAAATCAAGAATGGAATTCTTGAGAGAACTATTATCATGATAAAGTCTTTAAAAATGTTTTTACATTTTGATAGTTTAAGGTAGATATATATGAAAGATCTATAAGAAAACAACAGAGAAGAAAGACAGCTTAAAAATATTTTTTGAGTGCTTATTTTTTAATTGAAGAATTTGGTTTTGCCCCCTGTTTTTCCAAATTTGAATAAAGTTTAAACTTTTATTCCGCTAAAACTGGTTATGAAAAGTTTAAATAGATTTTCTTATTTGTTTATATTTCATATTGTTGCTTAGCAGAAAAGAATTAAAGCATGTTTATATTGTTATTGTTATATGACAAATATTTTTTTTACTTTCTACAATATGTTGTTAGTCCGAAGTCATATATTTTTCATAAAAATGTTTCTTATTCGATCTTGTATTTATTTTGTAGGAACTACTCCTAATAGAACACCAGGTACAGCTAAATCTGGTAAAGAAATGACTCCTATTAACACGCCTACTCCTTTAAGAGACAAGCTTAATATTAATCCTGAAGATCACATTGGATTTGAAGATATGCTGTCTGCTAAAAATTATAAAGTATTTTAACTTTTTTAATTCTCATGTTTTATAAGATCTAACATTTTATTTGTTGACTTTTAAAATGTAGTTAATATTCTTCCACTTGTTATTAATTGTAAAATCATTTTATTACTTGATTTCATTTACTTTTTTATGCTAGTAAATGGGAATAATTCATCATATTACCTTTGCATCTTTCCATTAAGACAACTGCCTATGTGTAGTGTGTTTAAAGTAGTATGTTTAAATTTTAATAATAAATAGTATATGAAAAAAAGTTCCTTGTGACCTTTTTTTCCTTCTTCATTTTACTGTTTCATAAAATGTTTTTTTCTTTTGTAAGCAGTTAATATTAACATATGTTGTTAAATTTTGAAGACTAAAAATTCTTATAAACTATGTAGTTGAAATTTATTAGAATAACCTTTCCAAAATATATTATATGTACATATAGGTGTAGTATATTAATTGTAGACTTATGTAGTTAGACTGTTATGTATGAAATATTTTAATAATTTCATCAAACAAATATGAAAAACATTTTCTAATTTTTATGTTTGTTATTTTATATTAACATTGTTATTTTGTTTTTAATTAATGCTTAATGAAACTAATTTTTCTATTGTGTCATTCAGGCAGAAAGTAGAAATATGTTGAAGAAAGCTCTTACTGCTTTACCTGCTCCTAGAAATGATTATGAAATTGTCGTTCCTGAAGATGAGCAAAAAGAAGAAGTAAATGAACATCAAGAAGTGGCAGTAGTTCTAGATCAAGCTGATGTTGATTTATTGAAACAACAGGAACAAAAAGCTTTGTGTATGATAGTTTAGCTTTGATTATCTTACCACAATCTCAATTATCTTACTACAATATTGATTATCTTACTACTATCTGATTATATGCTACCCTTTTAAAATAAAATAATAATCTTAACATTAATATTATAATAAATAAGTTTTACTAGCTTAAATTGGTCAGTTTTGATATTTTACATTTGTAAAAGCTAAACTTATTTATGGAATGCAACCTTGAGTAAAAAAAACAAACTTGGAATTATAGTGATTGTCTTTACTTTTTTAACATCCTTATTTACTTACCAAAATCGATTATTCTTATTTAACAATATAAACAAAATATATATAAATATCTTCATAGATTTGCGGAATAGAATTAAATTAATAATTAAGCAGTTATACAGTCATACTCGATGTAACGACCCATGTGGTGCAAACCAAAACAGACTTCATAACGTGAAATTGCTGTGTTGTGACTACATTAAAATTAGTGTAAATATTAACTTACATTATAAATACTGGATTTATTTTGGCTAAGACATGCTGCACTTTTAATAGAATTATGAAACTCCAATACAGTTTTTTTTTCTTATATCAATAAAGTAAAAGTATTTAATATATAAAATACAGTTAAAGTTTTTCAAACGACTTCTTTTAATATTGTGTATAAACTTTAGGCAGTCATAAAGTGTTTTTTCTTGGTTTTGAACTTTTGCTTCACAAGAATCATGTCATGAAATTAGAATAAATTTTAGAATTACATCAAAATTTTTACTTATTGTAAAGTCAAAGTGCCTTTAAGGATCTTTAATTTAACAATTTATTCTTGCATCCACTTTGTTTAAGAAATTTAAAAGAACATTCATCCAGAGAGGGAGAGAGATAAGCTAAAATAAAAAAGAATGTGAACAAAACCACATGTTTTAACTCAAAAATGAACCACCTGTAACAACACTTTACAAAAAGAAGTGAATACAATTTTATTATAGGAATTATGTATTTTTAAAGGAAGTGGTTATTATATCCACTTCCTTTAAAAATTTTTATTTCCACTCCAAACATATCATTACACTTGATAGGAGCAGCCATTCTCATTAAAAAAGAAACATACAGCCAGAGAAAGAGCAAGGCAAACCAAAAAGAATATGAATAATACCGCATATTTAAACTAAAAATAAACCATCTTTAACAACATTAACAAAAAGGAAATACAATACGAAGTGAATAAAATTTTAATTGAACCCTTTGGGAAGAAATTTCTGATTGTTATAACATTTTATTTGTTTATATGTATATACATCATTTTATTTAGTGGCTTCATATTTTGTTCCATTATTTTATTTAGTGGAAGCAGAACGAAAGAAACAGTCAACTGCTGTCCAGAGAGATTTACCCAGACCTTCTGATGTAAATTCTAACATATTAAGACCATCCCATTGTGATCCTCCATTGACAGAATTACAAAAAGCTGAAGAATTAATAAAGCAAGAAATGTTGATTATGATGCATAATGATGCAATCAAAAATCCTATGCTACTGGGTGGCCAAGGCAAGAAAGTTATACCACCTCGTGGTAATCTAGCTCATCATCAATCATATCTTGATAGGCATCCATATGTAGAATATGGAGAGGAGGATTTGTCCACTGTTAGTATGCATTTTAACATACATTATTAATGTTTATGCTTTAGTTACCTTTTATTTTCAATTATATGCTTAACTGGGTAATTCAGAACAATTAAATCAAAACAATTTTTCAAAAATCTTGTTATTTGTGAGGAAAATGATAACTAGTAAAGATTGCTTAGATTTTAATTGACATGTCAACTGCGCTGCTTTAAGCGGAGCTTCTCTGTTCTAAAATTTTAACTAGGCTGCCCTGCACAAAGTCATTTATGCTCCGTTTTCTATGCGCAACGTCGCAGTCAGAATGTTGCTTTGGCATTGTGTTTGGAGCATTAGTGACTAATAAAATGTAACTCTCTTAAATTTTTTTATTTCTAGCGAGTGTTTACATTGCCGGTTAATTGTAAAGCATATTTTGAAATTAAAAAAACTATTTATGAATGCTGTCTAAAAAACGAACCCATTAAGTTTTTAAAGATGATTATACAAAATAATTTTCCACTTCCGAACGTTAAAAAATGTCTTGAGTCTTGCATTACTGGCAAGGCTGTCTGTTAGCCTTGATATCATGTAAAGCATTAATTCAAAACTGCTTTGTTTAGTACTCATTTTTCAACTATTTGTTTAACATGCCACAAAAAGATCTAATACCTTATTCTTAATAAAATAATTTTTTAGGCCTCTACTCTACTGAAACAAGAAATGGATGTTGTAAAAAAGGGTATGGGTCATGGTGATCTCAGTTTAGAAGCTTATACACAGGTTTGGGAAGAATGTTTAGCTCAAGTATTGTTCTTACCCAACCAAAATCGATATACCAGAGCAAATTTAGCTAGTAAGAAAGACAGAATAGAATCATTGGACAAGAGACTTGAGGTAATTATATGATGTAGATTTTTTTTTTTTTTTACAACTGATTATTATATTGTCATTATATATTATTATCATTAAGCTTAATGCGATGCTTGAATATTTTGTAATCATACATGCTTTGTGTTTAAAGCAGGAAAAAGGAAAAATTGTTTTCTATTCATATTTGAACACTAAGTTTTGTTTCATTCGTATATGAATTCAAAGTTTAAACCCTGTCTCAGGTATGTAACTCTTCCGCTATGTTGCAAAATACAGCGAATCTCAAGATTGTCGATTCATGGATTTCCTCAAATCATTAATTTATATTACAGCAAAAATTTTCTCAGCTCTTTGGACCTAAAACTTCATTTTTGTTACTTACGCAAAATTTTGTTAACAAGGCATTTATTCCACCCTTGCTAGCACCTTCTTTTCTTCTATGTTCTCATTCAAGTGCAATATTGACTTGGTTTTGCATAAATTTGTGACAGAAAAATGCAAAATTCGGATAAACTTCAAAGAAAAAAAAAATCCACAATAACTTTGACTAGAATTAAAGAACCACTGTGACAAGCACAAATGTATAAAATTGGTTGTATTAAAAGTAATTTTGAGATGGTGAATATTTAAAAGATTGTCCACTAGAAATAATGGTATTTTTCTATTTTTTTTTACCCATATTTTAATAAGTAGCAATTTTGGTGAAAATTTCTTGTTTTTAACAGTACAATTATTCATTAAATGTGAGACATTTGTCCCCTTTTTTTATTTGGTTTCAATAAGTTTGAATTAATTTTTAATGTGATGCTACGACATAGAATCTCGAATCTCGTATTTCAATAATTACTTTTCAACGCATTTAATAACATTGTGAATGTTAGTTTTTGTCTAAAAATTAGTCTTTTAAATATGTTCTATGTACAAGAGGAAAAAAAATTTAGTGCTAAAATAAGAAAACTTCACATTTAGAAAAAAATTTCTTATAATTTCTTTTTCCAGCTATCACATATCTGCTGTATACAAATACAAAATGCATTTTTCCTTAAGTCATTTTTATTTAAGAAATTATTTTTTAAATTATGGAATTTTCCATTTAAGTATCACACTTATCATTCTAAAGTTTAATTCTGGCCCATTTGTTGGACCAACCATAAACAAAAGGTTAATTGCACATTTTCTGTAATATGTTGTGAATATTGCATAGCTGCCAACTCTACTGGATTTTCCTTAAGACTACTGAATTTTGCTACTTTGTCTTAGTGTACTAGTTAAATAAAAATTCTCCTGGTTTTTGTACATTTTAGAAAATTCCCTAAGATTGAAGTTTCCTCAAAAAATCCCTATTGAGAAAGAATTTTTGTGCAGATTATTGCTTACTCGAATATTTAAATAAGTGTCACTAATAATGAAGCAATTTATAAAATTCATTTTAAGTGAATTTAGATAGTTAAAAGATCTTAACTACCTTTGATGAATTAAAATGCCTATTACTATTCAAAATTTTGCATAACATTTCAAATTCATTTAATGCGAAATCATAACTGGAAAAGATTGCAGTTTTTTTTTTTTTGATAACTATAAAATTCCCTATCTGTAAAATATTTAATATATTTTACAACAATTATAATGAAATTTATGTTACTTCGTAAAATCTACTGGATTTTTCCAATCCGTGTTAGCAGCTATGATATTGAAATAATATAAAACCTCATACTTTTTTGTTTGTGCTTTTTTAAACTCTTTAATTAAATTATTAATCAGACTAACATGTGAGTATTTACTTAAATAAAAGTTACTTAATATATTTTATGCATTATAACAAATAGCTAGAAAATAGTCAAGCTCAGTCAAAATATATTTTTGATACATTTAAATTTTTGATAGTTTTTATTCATAACTTTATGTTATAATCTCTTGACTAAACATCCTTGAAATTGCAACGAAAAAAACATAGCATGTGAAGCATTCATCATATTTGTAACAATCTGAGGCAGTGATATCTAAGAAATATTTTGAAAATCTTAAAAATTTCAAGGTATTTCATTTTGTCTTAATTTTTTTATGCTCCATGTCCGATAAGTTCCAACTTTTTTTAATATTATATTGGAGTTAGCAATGTCATTACCCTTACCTCTACAAAACGCAATAAAATGAGTTCTGTTGTTGTTAAAAATAACTAAAGAAAAGTCTATTTTTTATCATGATAAATAGCAATGAACCGATGCTGAATATTGATTCAATACTTGCATGATTTAATCTAATTGTAATTTGCAATTAAGCTGCTCCCTTCAGGTAGAAGTTTTTTAAGTCCCAAAAATGCCAAGAATCATTATTTGGAAGCAAAGAAATCGATGTTAGCTTCTACAAAGTAAAATAAGTAAGACTGAGAAAATTTCAATTTTAACTTGTTATATTTTACTCATTCCAATGTTGATAGTGAATGTCATATTAAAATGAAAATATAGCTTAATGAAGTTTTTTTTTTTTATTAAATAAAGGCTTGAACTTGGCTGTTTAGACTGGACACAAGCAAGAGCAAATAACTTTTTTGTTCCTCAATGAAATAGACACCCCACAAAAACAAATTGAAAGAAATGTTATATTCCACAAAAACAAATTGAAAGAAATGTTATATTCCGCAAAAACAAATTGAAAGATAAGGGCATTCTAATTCTTCACTAATCAATCATTATCCTCCCTTTGCTGGCCCTACAGGTGGTCCTCACAAACTATTTGTAGCTTAAAAATTTTGTGATGATTTTGTGTTTTGTTTTAAATTTCATTGCTGGTATCCAAGCTGCTTACTCGTTGCAGTCTTTTTGGTATATTTATGATCTGAAACTATAACAATATAAATTATTTCGCAATTATTTTGTGTGTGCAAGAGAGATATTATGTGTGTACTTTATTCAATTAATAATGATCTTATTAGTTACTAAGTTTTTAACTTTTCAAATACTTTGCATATTTTCTTTATTTAAAAAATGTTGACAACATCATTATAAATTTTTCTACTTTTCTGAAAATCCTTCTTAACTTAGACATTCTACTTTTTATTTTCCTTTTAGCAAAATAGAAGTCAAATGACTAAAGAAGCAAAGCGAGCTGCAAAGATTGAAAAGAAATTAAGAATACTGCTTGGTGGCTATCAAGTAAAAAGTTATTTTATATATTTACATTTAGAAAAGAATCCTAATCTATTATTATACATTTAACTTGCACACATATCTGCCTGTACTTCAGTTTCTAATTATAATGTTCTAATTATATGTATATGATGTAACAAACATGCGTCCCACTACACCTAGGTGCGCTTCTGCTCTTTTTGCCATTTATGTGTCAGACCTAGTTTCTANATCGCTACAAAAAGCCGTTTTTTTATTGTCAAACTCAACTAAAAAAAAATATTTGGAAATAATCTTAAAAAAAGGAAAAAACAGTGAATTAATGCACTAATGATAATTTCCAAAATGATGGTAAGTTAACATCTTTCAAAAAAGAAAGAAAAAACCTGAAATCTTATGAGGAAAAAAAAAAAATCTTAAGAAAAATGGCGGGAAAATGTATCGAATTTCGTTCCGGTTTTTTTGTTTTCCGGTTTTCTGATTTCCGGATAACGGGTTCTGTACTGTATATGTATATGATGTAACAAACATGCGTCCCACTACACCTAGGTGCGCTTCTGCTCTTTTTGCCATTTATGTGTCAGACCTAGTTTCTAAATCCATTTAATTTTCAGAACTATTACTTATACAGAATTTTGTAAATTTTACCTGATTTAATCAAAGTGCCCTGAGTTTGTACATATTGTTATTGAAAATTACATAAGTAATGTTTGTTTATGAAAACTTATTTAATAAGATTATAAGTAAAAAAATACAGCCAATTTAAATTTGAATTGATTGCTGATATTAAGTTCTTATATTTATTTGCTTTTATTGATTAGCAAAATTGTAAAATTTTCTCTGGTTGCTATTTCTATTTTTTCCTCCATTATGGCAGCTCTGCACTATGTTACTCAATACTATATCAAGTCAAACACTCCTTTACTTAAACCAATTTGTTAAATAACACAGCATTAGTTACAAATTTATACTTTATATAAACTGCATCATTCAAAACTTTTTAAAATTATTAAATTAACTCATCATATTTGACATTCATATAAAAAGGCCATTTTTTATGATAAAAAGTTTCTTAATTTTAATTAAAAAGAAATTCATTATGTGTTTTTCTAAATACAAGTTGATACGGTTAATTTTTGTGGTCTTTCTTTATTGTCTAGGGGTTTTTATATTGTGTGTGGTTTTTCTTAATTGTTCTTCACTATCCCTCGATACTGAAAAATTGTTCTCCAATGTAGTTATCATTTTCTAACTGATGTAATGTCGAATAATTAAACTAAAGGTGCTTGGATAGGAAAGGAAACTTTATTTAAAAGTAATTATAAAAAAGAGGTGGGAAAAAGGAAAGTTAATGTAAAACGTTATTAACTTAGAAAAATTGTTGTTGATTGTTGGTTTTTAATTTTATCTGATTTGTTCTAAGCTAGGTTTTGTAGAAAGATTAGTTTTTCCTATTTATTTTGGACAGATAAATGTAAACAAAAGCACTTTGATGTATTAAAACTTTGTGTACTAAAAAAAAAAGTTTGTTTTAAATTGAGGAAAGTAAAACATTTTACTATATTTGTACTTAAATTTCATACTGTAAGTTTGTTGTATTTCTGTGATAAGAGTATTAAAATATTTCATACGGCTTATATATCTAAGTTGATAATATTTTATTATATTTATAAAATATGTCATTTCAAAGATAGTAATTGAATAATATTTCAAGAGTATGATCCTTTTTTATTATTTTGGTTAAGATTGTTTTAAAATTTAAGCATTTAAAATAAATTTCATAAATTGTTGCATAGTAGCTCAGATTTTTTAAGTTATTAATACTTGTTGAGGTGAACAGACTTTTAGCCAGTTATATTAAACTGCAGAAGATAAATTTATATTAATCATTTTAGCATACTAAGGTCATACTTTTGCATAGTTTATTGTTTAAAATCATTCAAGTGTACAGTTTTGAAAGGAAAAAAAAAAACAATTTTGGGTTTAATATTAGTTGTAATAATACAAATAAATGCTTTATTTTCATATTAATAAAATCTTAAAAAGGAAAACTGTAATTTTCTGGAGTAGTTATTTATGATTAGCATTAAATACAATTCAGCTCTAAAATTTAAGAAATATATATATAAAAAGAACGAATGTGTCTTAATAAATTTACATAATTGTAATTAATGCATTTAAAATTGTCCTTATTAACTTGATTAATTTAAATTATTTTTTTAAATTAAAAATTGTTGATGAAAAATTAATTGTAAGACCAATATCGTTTCTCACGTAGTAGACATAGAAGCTCTATTTGTATAGTGTTTAACACTGTAACATTATTTATGTATTACTATTAAGTATTATGTATATCTAGTATCTATTAAGTAATACTATTATGTATTACGTACACTATATTTATGTATTTTTTTCATTTTAGAACCGATATCAGGCGTTAATGAAACAACACCAAGATTTAGTTGAGCAGGTAGAGCAAACTCACTTGGAGTTAAACACTTTTAAAACTCTTCAAGAGTTGGAAAGTTTAGCCATTACTAAAAGGGTTGAGGTAAGTTATAAATTACTAAAATATTTATTTTGTTTTATGTAGCTACTTCTATTTTTTTTTTTAAACCAAAGTTGGACACACTGTTATAGTTCTGATTAAATCAGTAATTTTGTTTAAATCAATATTTTGATTAAAGGAAATTCCGAAGATTTGAGAATTGTATGAATTTAGTAACAAATGAAATTTATCAATAATTTTTATTTTTTGTGTAGCCTGTTAATTAAATTCACACTGAGCACCTGGCTATGTTATTGTGTGATATAATTATTTTTATACATTAGTTGATAAATATCATTCATTATTCTTTCATAGTAAAAGTCTGTAACATTTATGTTAAGTTGAATCAATAATATTTACAAAATAATCATGATTACATTTTTATAAAACTAAAGTCTTTTCTTTTTACATACTTCAATAAAATTTAAACATGCCTTTTTTTTATTTTTAAGTTTAAGATAATGTGAAAAATTGTTTTGATATTCATTTTAGAGCATGAATTTTTAAGCAGAAAGAAATTCATAATGAGTTGCCATTATTTCTGAAGTAAATGACATTAAAATACTTAATGATTAAACACTTGAAATATGTTTTGCTAATTATTAAAATAGTTTCAAAATTATCATGTACCTTTTTATTTTTAAATGAGCAAATTTATATTTGCATGCAAAGATACATGAGTAATTAGTGTGTATGTGTAACATTTGTGAAAATTGTAACATTGGCTAAAATATTGGAGGTGCTACCATTTTCAGACTATCTACCTCCAATTTATTTTGTCGATACTCAGTTGTGTTTCAGTATATTTTTTATTTAAAATCATACATTTTTGTCTTTAATAGTCTCTGACTGAAGATGTGAATAGACAAGTTGAAAGAGAAAGCATGTTACAGAATAAATATGAGACACTTCTTCATACCAAAGAAAAATTAGATATTCATATACAAAGCAAATCTTCTGATACTCCATGCGTTACTGTAACTTGATGTATTTCATGAATCTTTGCAAAAAAGTAATTTGTAAATATTTGCTTGAAACAGTTCTTTTCTATTGACACCACTTTTATAAATGGTTATGTCAATGAGTGCTAAAAAACATGCTAAATTTTCCTGGTTTAATAAACTCTTATAATTTCATTACATGTTGTAACTCCAAATGCGTGTTTATTTTAGACAAAATGATATGATTATCATTCATAGTTGAGTTTCATTAGGTCATAATTTGTTCTTTCAATGTCATTATTAAAATGGTTAATAAATGCATAAAGTTGTTATCCGGTGTAATTTTTATTTGTATAAATGATACAGGTATCTCTTTAGTATAAATCTATATCGTAACACAAGTAAAAGATCTTTATTTGTAACATTACATTTATGTACATTACACATATGTTATGGATAAATGGATACATTTAAAATGAAATAATACAAATGCAGACATGCATTCAGAACAGGGGGCTTTCATTATTGGGTAATATACAATTAGCTTTAATTTTACATGTTTCTAAAAAAATTAGTCAATTAGCATTTCTATTGATTGTAATTACTAAATTTAAAAAAATTTGTTTCAGTTAATTTTAGTTTCAAAATGTAAATAAAAAGCTAGCATAATATGCCTTAGTTTAGTCTAGTTTATAGGAACATAAACAATAAATCTAATTTTGATTTCGTGCCGACAAAACTCGATTTCCACGTTCTTAATTTTCTGGCTGCAACAATAGTTATATAAATTATGTCAAAATACAGTAACATGGGTTTGCGTTTCAAAGTAAGGCTGTTTATAGCGTCAACACATTAGTGTTTCTGTCTCCAAAATGAAGCAAAAAAGTGAATTATGAAATAGTAGAGCATCATGTATTTAGTATGGATACACACATTATGAATACAAATATCAAAAAAGAAAATAATTATAAAAATTAAGTCTATTTGGACAATGAAAAATAAAAGCAATAATATTTTTTAAATTGTATTGATATAGTTAATTTTAAATACACAAGTGGGCAACCTTTGTGCTAAAATACAAACTAAGGTAAACAATGTTTAAGAACACGAAAAGTGTTTATAAATGCAGACAACTGTTTCGGATGCTCAAAGGGCAACCTTCATCAGTGCAACAGAAAGAAAATGGACTTGTGAAAATCGGAAGAATTTTTCTTTCTGTTGCACTGGTGAAGGTTGCCCTTTGAGCATCCAAAACAGCTGTCTGCATTTATAAATACTTTTTGTGCTCTTAAACGTTGCTTACCTTAGTTTGTATAGTTAATTTTACTTAGTGAAAAAAAAGTAGACTTCTGATATTAATTACTATTATTTTATGTTATTAATTCTACTAAACTCTTAAGACTCTAATTATTTTATTACTTACATTAAAAAATTAAAGACTTCTAATAATTGTTCTAATTTTATTTTTGTCTTTATTATAAAGGGCTGCAACTTCGGTTTTATCCTAATATTTAATCAGGGCTGATTGTGCTCCGGAAAAATTCCCGATTTTTCACTAACCATGATCCGGAAGTTTCCGGAGATAGAAGGTTCAAACGTTTAAAAAAAAAATCATTGATAAAAGTTTCCGGAAATCAAATTTTCAAAGGTGGAACTTGAAAACACAGTTTATTTTATTTGTTTGTAAGGGAGAGCCTGATACTTTATGAGCTTATGTTCAAGATTAATATTCATTTTTTATCAGTAAATAGTTTTTATAATCATAAACTCAGGAAAGAAAGACATATTTGAAAATTTCAATTACTTCTCCAGGTCATCATTGGTATGTGTAAAATTTTAAATATATTTTAAGTAAACTAAGAAATATTGAGAAAAAGGAAAAAACCTTGTTTAAATTTTTTTCGATTGAAACTTTTTTTTTACTCAAGAAATTTTCCGGAATTTTGACTTGGGCTCACAATCACCCCTGTTTAATTGAAATATTTTAAAAATACTATTTATTTGATGTCCACGCGTAAATTAATGACTAAACTGCAGATATAGTTGCATGATGTAATTCTATAGTTTAAAATCAAAATAGTCATTTAAAAATTATTTATTAAAAAGAAACATAAGTTATATGCTGATTATATGAAAATAATAAACTGTACTTCAACTGGTACAATAATTGAAAAAAGATTCACTCTCTCTAGTGTAACCAAGTGTGAATAAAGAAAAATTTTTGTTTTAGCGTCCTTTTTTGATCATGAGAGAACTATTCTTATTAAATCAACGATACTCGACTACTTCCTGAGTTTGATAGTGCTGATAATTTGCTTAATGTGACATAGGAATAACATATTTGTTTTGAAAAACACTTAATTTTATCTGTCATTGAACTATATTTAATTAAACACTTCAATATTTTTGATAATGAAGGGAGGGATTTCTGTATTATACTTAGAAATTTAAACTATGCATATTTTTCTTACATTTGATTGATGTATAACAAATGAGTAATAGAATTGATCTCTTGATATAATATTTTAACTTTTTAATCATTTTTTAAATAGGGTGCATAGAGTTTTTAAAAAGTGCTTGTTTTGGATTTTTGTTTTTTGAAAGTCCTTAAAGGTGCTTTTTTTGTTAGAAGTTTTTAATAAGTCCTTTAATTTTTCCAAAATGAGATTTTTCATTACCATGCTGATTTTTGCCACGAAATATGCTTAAAGCATGGTTTTCACAATTAATTTAACCACAATCTATTTCGGCATACAGCCGGTCCTTAGCGTATTAAAGCGCCAATAATTTTACATGTTTGATGAAATACTTACTGATCCGCTTGTGCGTATAATGAGCTAGTTTTGGTGAGAATGATTGAATGTCTTGTGTGAAAATTTGCGGTATTTTGCAAGAATTTCTCAATTTTATACTTCATTTTCTTCTCTGAATTCAAACCGAGAAATCTCGAATTTTTGATCACAGTGACCAACTAGACATTGCCAGTATTTTCCTTAATAACAAAAGAATGTTTTATTTCTCTTATTAATTTGGTCATTGGTGAAGCGCCATCGTCTTCGTCATTGACAAACTAATGGCTTTATCGCACTGCTCTATTAATAGATCAGTACTATAATTTTTGAACTTTACTTGCGGATTATTCACTAATTACATATTTTCGTACGAGTCCCCAGAGCAGTAAAGAATCACAAAACTTCCATCTCCCTTGTATTCAATCTCATTATTTTTTCCATCTCCCTTTATTTCTCATCAATAAGTAAAGCTAAGATTTTTAATAATAGGAATTTTAAATCGAGGGGCTGTCCACCAATTACATAAAATTTTTTTAAATATTTATAGTTCTTCATTACTTTTTTATTATGGTATTATTACTTTTAAAATTTTTAGTTCTCTTAAGTTGTTTTATGGAAAAACTCAATATTTAGAGGCAAATTTTTTTTAAAAGTATGAAGTGTGGGGCTTTCACAATTTTAAATGCAGCAAAAAATCTTATGTCATTCTTATTTGTTATTCTAAAAAACTTTAATTAATCTCTTAAGGATTTGATTCAAAAACAATTGAAATAATAAATTCAATTGTCTCAGATTTGTTAAATATAGGCATACACTCCATATAATAACTTAGTGCACAAATGTTTAGCTGCAATGCTCATTGTGTTTACATTTCAAAATTATTAAATTTTTTTTTAATCCTGAGCCAAGTAACAAATTTTAATAAAAATTTTGGGGGCCATTCACTAATTTACATTTGTAATAAGAATTTATTAAAGTTTTCTTAGTTTGCTTAATTCTTTACATAGCTTTATAAATTCTGTATGATCAATAATATTAATCCTGTTAATGTTTTTTTTTAATATACTTTTATAAATAACTTTTATTTAAATCTAAAAAATACACTTAATAATAATTTTAATAACAATTGAATTAATGGAAATAAAATTAATTTTTTTTACATACTTAAGTAATTATTAATTTAAAAAGTAGAATGAGCCACTAAATATTGAATATATCTAAAATTGTGCATAAATTGTTTTTATTGTCTCTGATATAATCAAGAAAAGAGTTCTTTGTCAGAAACTAATTTTTTTTATTGATCCTGTAGAGTCTTTGAAAATATTTTGCATTCTGTTAATATATCTGTGAAGAACTTTCTTCACTAGGAAGAAAAAATTTTTATTTGTGGCATAATCCTAATTATGATATTTTTTAAAGTGCTTAAAAGGTGCTTATTATTTGTTGAAAAATTTGACTTCACAACCCTGTTCAAAGTTTTATTTATTGATTTTATATTTAATGAAAGTTTATTTGGCATTAACATTTAGTTACATTCCAAAGATACTTGATTTGATTAATGCTTTGATTTTGAAATAAAAATTAATATTTATTTTTAATTTTTTTTGTTTAAAAAAGTATAATTTTTAAAAATGCCAGGTATTTATTTTATTTCAATGTTTTATAATAATCTTAATAATTTTTAATATTTTATCATTTTTATATATAATTATGTATTCGGTAATTTAAATTACAATAATAAATTTCAATTCTAATTTTAACTTCATAGTTGATGTTTATATGTTTTCTTATAAATGGTTTTATAATAAATGAGTTTGTTTCAATTATTAATATTATTTTGATGTATCAAATTAGTCTTAACAAAACATTTTCAGCCAAATAACTCAAATGCTCTGAAATATTTTTCAGTGTGAATCAAATTGAAGGAAAAATCAATATATTACTAGATAAATTTGAGTTATTAAATGAAAGTAAATTTTATTTCCATTAATTTAATAACTCTTTTCTAGCTGCATAATAATTTTCAAGAATTTTGTCTGATTTTAATAAACAATAAAATCAGAACGATTTCTTTTTTAGGAACAAAACTATGGAAGTAAATTTGATAAAAATGTTATTTATATTTAAAAGTTCCTTCTTTCAATCCTCTTATTATAATACTAATTATATCTCGAATCATATGTTTTTATGCTAAATTAAAATTTGATCAAGCATAAAAATGTTCTGAAAAATTAATTGTAATTACAAAATATTTTTGTAGTTTTTTAACAATTTTATTTCAGAGAGAGATTTTTTTTAACTATTTTATTTCTGCAATGATCTACTTAATTGTTGTATAAATTTTTTTCTGAGAAAGATTTTAATATTCTGAAGTTATAATTGGTACTTAATATTGTTTTCTTGTTTTCAATGATAGTTTTTTCTTCTCTGTAAAAGAGATTGAAAAACTAGTCAAAGACGTAATTTTAAAAATATTATTTAGTTTCAATAAATGAATTTTAAGTGTGCATCTTTATGTTTTACATTTTTGTGTAAAAAAAAAAAATTGCGATGTAAAACAAATCCCCCCCCCAATAATTTACACCATTTAAATTTTAAATAAATCTTTATTTTTTTTTATTCGATTTATTAAAAATTATAGCTAAATTAAAATTTATTTTTTATTAATTCTTTTATCTACTATTATTCTTTTATTATTAAACATAATACTGGTAGAAAATTGAGTTTTTTTTTTGAAGAATGATGTCTAAATTCTAAAATAAAATTAAAACTATTAATGTTTATTTCCTCTTAATTGATTGACTTGATTCTTTATCATGCAATGAGTTACAGTTAAATAAAATCTGAGCAAAATCTGTTTCGCTTAAAACTTCGTAAATTTGGCAGTTTTATATTTAAAAAGTTCTTTTTGTTTGTAATTGTTATGAATGCAAGTAAGGTCTGCAGTGTGGTAATGGGCTGGACCAGTGACTAGATGCCGTACATCGAAGTTGTTGAGTTCCCAACACTCGGAACCCTGGATGACACCCAACAACTACAACTTCTCCAATATCATAATGGAACTTGGTGGGAATGACTTGTCCATTTGATGGATTGCCTGGGAATTCACATGCTGCTTTACCTATAAATAAATTGATAAAAAAAATTTGTTCTGAAAGATTACCGAAGAATTTTTTTTATACATATTTAAGCTATCATTAAGCCAAAATTTAAGAGCTTTGCGAATAAAGGGTATAAGCAGGGTTCGTAGTTGTTCTGATGAAAAATATTTTCTCCTGATATTCCTGATTGTGCATGTTCAGAACATGAAAAATCGAAAAATTTGGTTTTGTGATCCAATGTTTTTATTAATAATGCTAGTAAAAATCACAAAATTTTATAGTTACAATTTAGGAATCGTCTACTGATTTTGTAGATGATTCAGGTATATAGCCTTATTCACAGGATTCATTGTTTCATCCTCTTTAGGAATACAATCATTCTATGAAAAGGAAGCTCTATTGACTATTTTACATTACCAAAAGTGATGTGCCTACTCATTATTTTTAGCGATTGCATAAAATGGAGTTTTTTGTAGTTTCACATTTATTGATTTGACTCTTTCATGTGATTTTATAAATGATCGATTCCAATCAATAATACAGTTATATAACATCATAAAATTTTTAAATGATGAATTGAGGGGTTGCCCACTAAAATTACTTTTGAACAAGAATCTTAAGAGGCATATTCTTTGTGTTTTCTTTTCGAGATTATTGGGACTCTATTTTAAAATTATTTGATTTTGAACTCTATAACAAATTTTGATCTTATTTTCATTTCTAAAAATATTAACTAAAAGATGCTTATTCTTTTTTAATGCAACAGTTTTATAAAAATTTTTTCCATGTACTCATTTGAAACAATTATAAGTTTTTCAGTATTAATGAAACTATTCTGGGAATTTTTAAACTTAACTTTTTGTTCTTTGCAAAGTAATCATGAAATGAAAAACAGTATATTCATTTCATGATTACTTTTTAATATTATGGCAATTATTGTGCTTTGTAATAATAATGAAAAATAGTTTCAAAGACAATCAAAACTTTGTTTTTCAAACTAATTTGTTTATATTATACTTTAATACAGAAATTATACTTTTTAGTTGTTTGCCTTTTTAAAAGTAGTATGGTATTTGTATACTGCTCAAAAAACTGGACTGATTTTGCCATTAAGTTTTTGAAAAATTTCGTTCCAATTTTTTCTTTGGCTCACTACAAAGCCTGGGTATTAATAAAATTTTTGAAAAAAATTATGTATCTCAAGGAAAGTTTGTATTTTAGTATTATTTTACCACCCTATATTTTGCTAATTCTTTGGAGTGGAAGAAGATGCCAAATGCATTTAGCAACAGACAGTCGACTGTTAATCTCAGGAAACCTTACTTTTGGCCTCTAATTTAATTGTCATAACTGTGAATGCCCTGATAAGAATACTTTAATGCGTGTTAGGGTTTTATTGATTTATCCAATAGGAAGTTCGCGAACAACAGGTGAAGATTAGGCATAATTTTTATTGTCTTTGTATAAACTTTAAAACTTATGTACTCAAATTCTCTAAAATCATCCTTTGACCCTCACTCAGCTGTTCAATTGCCCAAAATGTTGAATTGAATAAAGCATTGTTATTATAAAGCTCTAATGTTAAAATAGTTATATAAATATTTTTCAATCTGAAATAGTAACAGTCATAGTCAAAATAGTTGTTGATTTAAACATTTTATATAAATAATATGATGGACTGAAAGTTCTTGCTTGCATTACACCAACATAATATACGCTCATTGAAATTTTTTTCTGGGGTTCCTTCTATTTAACTTATCAATTTAATAGAAAATTTTTTTCCCATGCTGTTTCTTGAGTACAGTATTCAGAAGAAACAGATTTGCAGTAGCTGTAAAATTGAAAATAGCTTGATAAGAGCGAATTTCCTCTCATAAGCAAACTAATTTCTAATTTGAATGATTGCAGTAACTTACAGTGCATTATTATTTCTTTTGTCATCCAAAATATTAATTTAAGGATAATGGGGTTTCGATTTTGCACTGCTACATAAACGTGTAATTTTAACTTCACTGTAAGTAATATTTTTATAATATAAAACCAATTTTTAAGTAGATAATTATGATTAGTACTTACATGTTGGCGATGGCTGTGACCACACCCCATGGTCAGTGCAGATAGCTACCGACTCTCCTGTAATTACATAACCAGCATTGCAAGTATACTGTACAAAATCTCCTGACAAGTATCTGCCTGTGTCTAAAACACGTCCATTAAGAGGAGCTATTGGTGGCTTACAAGAAACAGCTAAAATGAAATTATTAAAAAAGAATGTATAGATTAATGATATTCTTTATATATATTACTTTGCTTAGTGTTAAAATGCTATACAGTGAAACCTGCCAAGTTGACCACCATTGTAAGTTGGGCACCTGCATAAATTGACCTCAATTATCAAGAACGGAATTTTTCCTATATAATACAAAGAAGCAAAACCTTTGTAACTTGACCACCTGTCTATCTTGTATGTTGACCACTGAAATAAGTCAATTTTTTCTAGGAGTATTATGAAATTCTATTCTAAAACCCTCATAAGTTGACCAGAAAAAAAAATTCAGAAAATTTTCTGTCATTTTGGCAATATATGTTAAAATTTCACTTGTTTGGTGAAATAGTGTAAAAAGCTAATCTGAACCCTTTTGTGAGTTGACCATCAGGGGAAACAGTAAGGGGTCAGCTTTTGACCATTTCTTTCATCCGTTCATTGAAAACAGGTGTGTTAGTTGAAAAGTTGCTCTTCCAGT